CACTTTTCATGTGACGTCACATTGCTTAAGCCCCTCCCCCCCCCAATCGCTACACATTGTCACAAAAATCTAACCCCCCCCCCCTCCCACCCTAGACGCGTGAATTCATTTATGGATGGCCCTTACCAGAGTTTGCATTTATAAGTTTGTTATGAATAAAAATGATTTTAAGTTAAAGACTTATTATTTGACTATCTATATCAGGGGTCTTAAACTCAAATCATCTGGAGCCGCAAGAGGTACAGTCTGAGTGAGACTGGGCCGCATCAAGTATTCCACAAAAAAGTGGTTATAACTTCAATAAAGTACAACTGTTACAATCGGCTAACCCTTTGTTAATAACAAATAAAAACATTAAGGGTTCTCAAGAACTAGGCTTCACTTACTTTCTCCTACTCCTTGTTGCCAGACACCCGGAAGTGCTTCTTCTTACACAGCTGAGCAACATGTAGCTTGAGTGAGGAAGCAACTGAGACCCTCAGTATAGCTTGAAGATGCACATAAGTAAGTTTGGCCAAGAACTTTACTTGTTAGGTACTCCCAAAAGGCACATGATCAGCTTGAACAACCTGAAAATCTCAGGGAAGTTGGAGGACAATTCCTTCATAAATTTTCCAAGCTAGTCTGTTTTTTTTTTAATTTACTTCCCTGAACTTAGCCTTGAGTTTAGAATTGCACCGAAGATCAATCGGCTCCATTTGAAGCGCATCTTCAACATTGAAGGAGAAAGGGTCAGCAAGTTTTTTTAAGAGGCTCTTTGTGTTTTGAAGTCTACTATACGGACCATATGTCCAATGATACAGTGAAAGAAAGGGTTCGTCAGGCAATTGGGGAGTACGATGACCTACTGGTGACTGTGAAAAAACGCAAACTACAATGGTACGGCCACGTAACAAGGAAACAAGGGATTGCCAAAGAAATATTGCAGGGCACCACAAGAGGAGGGAGAAGAAGAGGAAGAAAAAGAAAAAGATGTGGACAGGACTAACACTGGGCGATGCAGTGCCTAGTGCTGAAGACTTTGCAATGGCATCAGTATACTTACTATTGAATGGTGTGCCCGAATCCATGAGTACTTTGCATTCTGTGAAATGGCAGAGGTTTCTCTGAGAAAGATGGGCTTTTCAATAGTAAGTATACAATATTCGAAGCATGTTTTCTCAATGGGGAAAACGCGCGGGCCGCATGTACACTAAACTTTACTGTCAGGTATCGGGCCGCAAAATATCGTATTGCGGGTCGCAAATGGCCCGCGGGCCGTGAGTTTGAAACCCCTGATCTATATACTTCTCACTTGTATTTCAGTTTAACCCTCTAGGTATCTTAAAATCATATTTTTCACTGATATAGAATATCTAGACTTATAAAGGGCCCCATATCTCAAATGAACAAGCTCCAATTGCACGATGATACGACCGAGCTGATCCCCATTGCTACTGCTCAAAGCTTCAATCTGTAAATAACACACAATCCCTTACTCTCTCAGGTGTGCAGATTGAGTTTGCTCACACAGTGCGAAACCTGACGTAGACAGAACACTAACTATGGAAAATCGCATTAAAATGATTTGCAAGGCGATTTTTCTAGAGCTGCGCAGAATGAGTCCTTAACGTTTGATTCATCAAAGAGGCTGATGTCAGCAATCGTGCTATCACGCATGGATTACTGCAATGCTCTCTTGGTTGGTCTTCCAACTACGCTCCTGGATAAAATTCAAAAACTAAAGAATAATGCGGCTCGCATTGTTCTTCGCAAACGCAAATTTGACATGCTAAAACACTTCTGAGAGAGCTGCATTGGATGCCGGTCCGCGCTCGCATAGAGTACAAAATTGCAGCTCTGTGCTACTACTTCAAAACCGATTTGAAAACATATCTATTCGCAAACACCTGCTGGGGTGATGTTTTCTACCGTCTTTTCCAGTTAGCTATTATCTCCTAGATGTACATTGGCTTGTGTTGTTTATGGTTGCAAGTGATGAAAGACTTTGAATGGTTATGCTCGTTTATAGTTTTTGTTGTGTTGCGTTTTGTGTTTCAAAGTGGCAAAATATAGATGGTTTCATTTCTCTTTTAATATGATTGACTTTGTACCGAGCTTCGAGCCTTTGGGGATGAAGCGGGATTTTTTTCAAATAAACTTTATTATTATTATTATTTTATTTTTATTATTATTATTTAAATTCTTGGGTGTCTGTTTTTTGTTGGGTTTTTTATGATTGTTTTGTTTTTGCGTTTGTTTATTTTTTCTTTCTTTTTTGTTATTATTTTTTGTTTTTGTTTTGTTTTTTTGTTTTCTGGGAGGGGGGTCGAAAACGTCTTGTACGTACGCATTGGGGGAGGGGGGATCCAAATCAGTACGTGTGCAACAGTAACAAGGGGTTGAGGGGCTCGGAAACTTTAATTTTCTGGGGTAGATACTAAATGGATGGGGTGTGGGGGGGGGGGCGACCGCCCTGGGTGGCACTTTTTGGGGTGCATTATTCATATTTAAAGATAATCGATGTTTATGTGTTAGATGGGCGCAATTTAGGGAATTCACCAGGTAGAGTTATGTCTTGTTACGCCACTGACACGTTTAATAGTTGTAGTAGGTCCAGTAGTATCCTATTTTAAATTGTCTTGCTATTAGAATTTATTATACTTGAACTAAGACTCTTGCATTTTTTTCAATTGCATTTGCCATATTTGATTTGCTTAGTACATGTACATCTATTAAAAATAAAATGTTGATGCATGTGCTTGTTATAGAATGCGTGGAACACCATGGAAGCTTGTCAGCTATTCCCCTCACCACCTACAATTTGTTGGATTTTTTTTTTTTTTTTTTTGCCATTTATTTTTTAAATCATCTCTTTATGAGATTGTAAACGCACAGCACCTTTAAGTATTATAAAATGTGTCTAATTTACTATAATATTTTTTTTTTTTTTTTTTTTTTTTTTTTTTTTTAATTTTTTTTTATTTTTTTTTTTTTTTCCTTTTTTTTTTTTTTTTTTTTTGTTTTTTTTTTTTTTTTTTTTTGCCATTTATTTTTTAAATCATCTCTTTATGAGATTGTAAACGCACAGCACCTTTAAGTATTATAAAATGTGTCTAATTTACTATAATAAAAGAAAGCCCAGTCAGGGCCTCCATTTCCGCCGTCTTGGATTATGGGATGTTTCCGGTGACCTCGCCTCCAACACGGAAGAAACAACACAAGTACCGATAACTTTGCTTTAAAGTTTTGCCTTTTTTAAAAAAAAAGGGTAAGAAACCATAAATAATAAGTTAATACAAAGTAATTAAGAAAACTACTTCTGGTTAATAAACTCCAAGTTGTGCTGTCACTTATTGCTTACATATTCTTTAAAATATAAAAAACTACTTTATAATGACTCATTTCATTCTATTTTTTTTTTTTGGAGAGAGAATTTGCTCTAATTTTTATTTTTAGATAGGCTTGGTCCAAACTGACTAGTCTATTTGGGTACACTAATCGCCATTTAAGGTGGGCGTGTACTTTTTCAAAAGAATTCATTTTATGGTACCATTTTCTTGTCATTGAAGTTTAGACTAATTTAGTTGTATAAATAAATAAATTGAGTCTTGAGAATGATTCACATTATTACACGTTCATTTAACAGCCATTAAGCCACTGCATCAACAGACAGTGCTAAGAACTACATTGAGTCTACCTACATCGCTACATTTCTATTTATCACATGCAGATTAGCCTAGCCTAGTAGTAACCTAGTGCCTGAGTGTTATTCAAGTGTAAAATTTCATAGTCATATGCCTAAAACTAAAGTGTATATTATATATATAATGGCATTAATGGGGACAGGGGCCTATTCATTTTATTACAATGATAAGGTGTAAAGTATAATTATAATTGCCATTGAGCCCATTGCCTATTATTACTATTAAGTAGAACAAGCCAAATTATTCAATTAAAAAATAGCTAATAAATTAAATAAATAAACTTCTTAGCAGTTTTATTAACTAAAAGAAGGACTGAAAAAGCCTTAATGTATAGTAATTTTAGTTTATAAATATATGTCAGTTACAAGTTGTAATACAACATTAAAGCAGCAATACAATTTTAATTTTATTTTCACCAGCTACCACTGGTGTATGTATAGTATAAACTTATTGTGACAGGGTTAGGCCTACTTACTAAACTATTTTAAAGTATTGCCTTAGCGCAATAAAATGAATGTTCCAAATAATTCTTTTAGAGTAGGACTGAGGAATAAATGGTGGAATTAGAAGTCCGTGGTGTAAGCAAAGGGAGGGTAAGTGGGGCTAACACCCGCCCCTCTCTGAGACCAAAGGGCTAAAGGAGAGAAGAAATAGAATGTGATATTTGTAAGCAAGATTCTGTTAATTATTTTTTTATTGTAAAACCCTATGAGACGAAATTTTATTTGATTAAAAGTTTAGCTAATCCAGGTTCTGTCGTGATTCATTAATTAATATTATGATCATGTACAAACTCCAATGTCATCAGGCCCAGATTAACCATTTAGCAATATAAGCACTTGCTTAAGGCATCAAATAAGGGGTGACAAAAAACACACAGAGAAAAACGTTTAGAATATTGAACAAAATAAAAATCCATTAAGAGATAAATACCAAGTAAACATAAAATTGGAAATATGATGATGAGTGATAGGCCAGGTAATGGCACCTTAAATGTAAAATGTATTTTTGGGATAGTGAAAAGCTAATTAATGCTTACCCAGAGGACATAAATTTCCAGTAGCATCTCTTTTGTTGCTCTATCATCAATTGTCATTTGATGCATTTCTAAATTCTGGTATGCACTTAAGTATTTTGGGGAGGGGCTCACTTCGGCACCCTTGATATTGTCTCATGATCACCTTTTATGGCCTCGAACTGCTCTGCAGCCAATGCCCCCCACCTCTCCATAAAATCCTGTCCACGCCACTGGTTTCATATGATGAATTCTTAGTTAGAATACCTCAACTCCTTTACCAATAATATCTTTTGTTCTAATTGAAATTAATTCTGTTAGTGATATCATTTTCGATACATATAGATCTAGCTTGAGCAAAATTGGGGGAAAATAAGAATACTGTCATAATTAATTTTATTTTCCAATGGCTTACTTCAAGAATCAGAGTGCCTTGATAAAGTGAATTTAATCATCGAAACAAACATCTGAATAAATTGATACAAACTTGTCTGACCAATTATTTCAAAATGTACAGTATCCTCTGTATTCCAAATCTAAAGTCACTGCATTAATTCTAATATAATTGAATCAATGTTAAGCATAAAATATATAAAGAAAAGTCATAAATATTCCCAAATGGAGTGTAACAAAAGCATAAAATATGTTTCCTTTCCTTATTGGGCTTGCAGCATATGATATTTTATTCTCTAGTAGCTGCTTTCAGACATTTTTCTTACCTTTAACTGCTGTATTGTCACATTTCATTATTCCCCCCCCCCTCCCCTCTTACCCCTGTTATATTTCAACACTTGTGTTACTCTTACTAAATTTTTTTATCCAATCCTTTTGGCTGAGAATACAATGTAAGCTATAAGTGCTGCATGTTCTATTTGTTACTCTTTGAATAAAAACAATGGAATGTTGCTATTAAAACACTTTTTATTATTATAATTAAATGTAGAAGTAAAAAATCAAGAAGTAAAAATCGAGTCACTAAAAATAGTTTGGTATCCAAAAAGGTAAAACTGTGTTGATGTATTTGTAATTATATATTAATTGCAATGTAAGTTAATTTACACCATTAATTTATTTTATTTCTAGAAGTGACATTATTCACTTATTTTTTATTTTTTTGTGTGTATATTTCCAAATCTTTAGGAATGTTTGTTTTCACTAAAATAAATAAAAATAGTGCTGCACATTGTCATATTTAATTTATTTTGTATCTATTTAGCACGCTATTTTTGTCTCATTGGATTTGGTATTGCTTTGCTAATGGCTTTTGACCCTTAAAAAAATATGGTGTCCTAATATTGTAGTATGGTTTGCATATAATAACTAAAGATAGCACACTTGTTAGTAGTAGATTAGTTATTTTAATTGAATACTTTTATAAACACCTTTAGTTTTTAATTATTATTTTTTTAGAGAATTGTATGTTACAATAATATAAATCAGAGAAGACTTAGTGTTATTTCAATTCCATGGAATTGATATTTGTTTCTTTTGAAGAAAAAAATAAAGCCTCCCTATTTTCATTTTTGAATGAACGCTGTTCAAAAAAAAATTACAGTTGTACACCTAAATTTAGCTGGTGATTGTTTGTTTTAATAATTGTCTATACCTGGAATAAATTGTTTGATAAAACTGTTTTATTTCAATGTTGTCTTAACAAATTGAATATTGTAATTAACAATAGATTTGCATGTATAATTTCCAAACTATTAGAGTGTTTCTCAACCTTTTCTGTGCTAGTTCAGTTCTATAATTTTCGACACACCTGAATGACTCATTTTGTTATCAACCTACTTTCCGTTTTTTTTTTTTATCTATATCTCTATAACAATCTATTAGTATGTTTATAAAAGTTTCATTTGGCTTTTTGGGGGAAAATATTTACCACTTAGTTTATTCTAACCAAGTAGTTTGTATAGTTTGTAATTATAGTTGTTTAAGCTGATTTGTTAAGCAATTTCTGGGGTATTTTATTTACTACAAAAGTCGTCATTTCTTCTTTTATAAGAGCAAACATTGTGACACAATTTAATAAGCATGCAGATATACTGTTTCAGAAACACTGACTGCTCTCATAAAAGATTTTCGGGACCTTTTCTCCCTTGCAAGATTAATTCTGTGATACACTTCACCAGCTGGTTTCTGCCAGAATAAAATACTATTGATTTATGCTCTGGTTTAAATAAATGCATTTTCTGCAGAGTAATTGTATAAACTGTCACTTTTTTATCAACTCCCAATGTTGTGTAACATGCATTACAAGATACTCTTATGGAAGCACAGGGATTTAAATTGAGAATTTTTGGAGGTTTTTTAAACCCATTACAATAAATAATTAAATGAGCTTAATTTTTAGCTTGCACTTATTTCAAATCATTCAAAACTTTTCTACATCATACAATAATTTAAAGTTATAACATGATTCCTCCCAATAAAGTAGTAAAAAAAAGTAAAATACAAAAATTTTCTGTTTATACTTTTTTTGCAGGCAAGGCATATGATCCATAAATTTGTTATATTGAAAAAAAACAAATTGTCATCACTTAAAGTTACCAACTGCAAGAGATCGTTTTAAACTTGTTCTATGTAGCGCATTTCTTATGATGATCTCAAAATGTTGTTTTTAGATCTTTTTTTAGTGTGTTTTATGTTTGCACATGAAGCACAATTAACAATTTTCCTCTCAAATTTAAAAGAATCTCAGTTAACTACTGTGCTTCAGAGACAGCTTTAATTTAGTTTTTACAAATATTTCCAAACATCTGCTCGATTCAGTAAAGATGAAATTTATTTATATATATATATATATATTTTAAAAATATTAGGCTACTTCTAAAAACTCCACAGCCATCATCTGAAAAGTCAATTGCTGCCAGCCAAAACAATAATAGCCATGCAGCGACAGCATTGCCAATAATGTTTTGCTGCTGCCCACAAGAGTCGGATAACTACACAGTGGATAGGGAGAACCAAAAAAATATAAATAACTCAACAGAAGCCAGAATCCAAACAGGAAAAGGGGCTGTTTCGTCATCCAACCAAAATATCAGCACTGAAGCCAATTTAGATAAAAGCACAATTTCAGAAACTAAGCGGGAAAAGTCTCCAGTTGTTGAGCAGCCTAAAGCACATTCAAAGACCACCACTGCAGGAAATAGTTCAGAACCTTCAAAGCAACAACATATTTCTACCTCAGATGTAAAAACTGAAGAACTTAGAGACAAACCCATTGACCTCACAGATATTGAGAGCAAAGTTGTAACTGAGCCCCAAGGGCTAACAGGTTCCTTAAATATTAATACAAATAAAGTTGAATCTAATGCAAAATCTGTCAGTGTGATATCTGTATCTCAAAAGTCAAATAATCCAAATCTTGTAGAAACTCAAATGCCAAATATTCAAGCATTGAAAGTGATTAAGACAGACTTAGATAAAATAGAAAAAGCCATTAGCGAAGCTGAAACCAAATCCAACTGGGACGCTAAATCTGCAGTGCCCGGATTAGCCAATCAGCTTAAAGTTTTAACCTCTCAGGTGTTAGCATCACTGGCGAGTACTGGGGATATGGCTGGGATAGAACTTCAAGCAGCTGTGTCCAGATTGGAGGCTGTGGCTACAAGACTGGAGTCATTGGCCGCCAGGTCGGCCGTCGGAGGTGGTGGTCACTCTGCTGGTGGGGATTCAGGTAAAATAGCATGTGAGGTTTTTGTCCTGAAGAATTATTACATAGAATTTTAAAATTAAATTTTAATTTCATGCATATTATTGTAGCAAAATCCTGTCAGTTCTTAATTAATAAACTTTTGCTATATGGAATGTCACAAATTATATATAAACTCTTCTTAAAAATGCGAAAGCCAAAATGGTTTTAAAAGGTTCATTTTTTAAATCACACAGAGCAGTTGTTAAGTATTTTTAGGTTATTGGTTGTTTGTTTTTTCTTTAAAATTGTATAAAAATGCTAAATTTACTATTATATAATTAATGATAGGGGGATGCTTTTCATGTGTCAAAATTACTGCAAACTATTTAAAATATATATGTGAGAGAGATGTTTCTTTATTGAAATTTAACACTTTTTGATGTTCAACTAAAAATAAAATCTTAACATCAATTCTGCCAGATGCTGTGTCTCCTTATGTTCTTGCCTATGATGATCTGATTGCTGGACCTCTGTCGAAGTACATCTCACTGTCAAATGATGTGGGTGGGGATGTGAAAGCTCAGGTGTGTAGTCTTCTTCACTCTACAGGTGTTTTCTCTTGACCTGAAAACAAAATTGATCTCCAACTGTGATATCACTACAAGCTGTGCTTGCACGTGCACAAAGAAATACTACTACACCAGTGCACAAGAGGGAAGTAGATTTAAAAAAGGAATTTGTATTTTTAAAAACTTAAAGTGAGGGTGGTACCAAAAAGTGTGCATTTTCCTCCTATATCAGGGATGGGCAAACTTTTTTTGCGCTGAGGGCCACATGGACAAATGTAAAGCTATTGGGGGGCCGCATGTATGTCCAATTTTTACATATCGATAAACATTTCTCTATATTAAAATCGATAAATTCGCATTTTAGCATTACATGACAATAGTCAAGGACTGTTTTAAAAAAAAAAAGAAAATTAGAAAGGATGTTGATTAAAAATGTTAAAACATCAAAACAGTATATGAAAAATAACTGTAAAATTCAACACAAAAAGCTTAAAAACAAAGTAATTTTGTTATTTCTAAATGCCTTTGAGGGCCACATAATATCAGTTGCCTTACGGCCCCCACCCCCTGTCTTATATAATAAAACTTTCAAATGGAGGACAGCCAAAGATTAAATTTGAGATTGCCATTTTCAGCTCAAATCCTTAAATTATGAATACAAGAAAGAGACCTATTGTCTTTTAGCTTTAAGTTGATATATTCAATTTGGCTTTTATCAGCCAGAGAAAAACACAACTGTATTTTATTTCTTTAATTTGAATACATTAAAATGCTCATCAAATAAGGATATTAATGTTTTTTTTTTCAAACATTTCATGTCAGGCTCAACTAGTAAAATCAGCTTTTGATGCCCAGCGAAGCTTTCTTATTGTTGCCTCAAAGAGCAAGCAGCCAGATCAGGTATGTTAGTTAGTACTGTAAACATTTAATTCACATATACCTGTATCTATTATTGCTATTGCGTCTTTAAAATTTTCATCATTTGTTAAATTTAAATGAATTGTTTGACCTACAATTTATTTATTTAGGCCTTTTGGCAACACATTTAAAAAAGGGAAGCGTTATACGCAGTCGGCTGTGCATAACCCTGAGAATTATACGCAGTCGGCTAGGAATTTAGCCAAATAAGGTTTATCAATCGATTGTTTGGCAATTTACAAAAAAAGTATTATGCGTAATAAGCTGCATGACGGGTTGTTTTGAACTAGAACTTTTCATGTGTTAAAATTGAATTAATTGTAATTAATATTGAAATTGATGATAGCAATAGTATTAGTATTAGTGCTATTAGTAGTATTATTGCTTGTATCTTATATATTATAATTATTATAAGTATAAGTCAAAGTCTACATTTCTTAGAGTCTAAGCCTAAGTCTAAGATTTTTTAAAAGGCATTTCCATGGTCTAAGTCTAGTTATGTATTTTGATTGATTAGGTTTTTATATGTTGCTATGACTATGTGGTTAGTTTTACTGACTAATTCAGGAAATACATTCTATTTATTTTTTTTTAAATTTATCATTTTTTTAATGATTTTTTTTTTTTTTTTTGATGATCTAAATGTAACAGTTTTCAGCTTCCATGCAAAACTATAACTGTTCGAAAGTATTACTTACACTGACCCCTCTACAAAACCCCTGCCCCTACAGCGATTTTTTTACTGCTACTCTCAACCCATGATTATATTTATTACTGTACCAGAGAAACATGATTTTATCTGCCACAAAATTAGTTAACAACACAAAATATATGTTAACAACACAAACATATTAATTATAAGAATAACATTATTAACATTACATTGGTCAAGTTAATCGTTCTTCTCATGTTTTAACATTTTTTAGCCAAAACAAAATTAAGTTGCCTAGTTGTTTTTGCTTCATTCTCGAGAACAAACATATCAAATAACACGTATTCTTGGCTTGCCGTTGGCTGTAATTGAACTCAAGACCACCAACTTGAGGTTTGGTCAGTTTGAACCATTCGACCACCCAGTCACCTCGATAATGAGGCACCCTTATTGATTGATAATGTAACACAGGAAGAATATAGACGTCACGTGACTTGCCGACTGCATATAACTCTCAGGGTTATACGCAGTCGGCTGCGCATAACCACTTCGTTTAAAAAATAATAATTTTGCTCTAATCCTGGCATGTTTTTTGTCTGTGTAGAACACTTTAATTCAACTTTTAAAGCCTTCATCTGAGAGGTTACAAGCTGTTCAGGTAATGAAACTTTTTATCTGAATTTAATAAGGAAAAATAACATTTTAAAAAGATTCTTTAAACTTACAGAATATTATTTTATCTACAACTTTCCTTTTTAATATAATTATGATTTCTCTCTATGAACCACATATGGTTTCTTGTGGACACCTAGGCCTCTAAGGGAATCCCTGTTGAGAAACATTTGGCAGAAATGAAAAAACAAAATTAGATTAAAACTGTTGAAAAGGAAAAGATCAAAGACAATGTTTGATAATTTTTCTGCTTGTGTCAAATTTAAAAAAGGGAATGAAGTCAGTTCTAGGTTGATGGTCTCACTGCATTTCAAATCTCAGACAGGAGGGAAGGGTGACAAAAATAAATTGAACAAATGAATGCTAGAGATACAAAAATTCAGGCCAACATTTTATGTATGGCTTTTGAGTTTAAAAAAAAAAACTTAAAAAAATAGGACCATTATACACATACAATGCACTCATGTGATACAAAAATCAGACTAAACCATAGCTTTTAATTATCTCTAAAAAAATTATTTTTTCCCAGGACTTCCGTGAAAATAACCGTAAAAGTGAATTCTTCAACCATCTCTCTGCCATTGGTGAATCAATAGCAGCCCTTGGTTGGGTGGCCATTGTAAGTACAAAGCAAAAAAAAATTTTAACAGACATTCAAGGAATTGAAAATTTGATGCGCATATTGTTTTCTTAAATCACATGTTTAGTGTGTGTTTTAATTGGTATTCTTTTTAAGTACATTTCTATTGAACATACCCCAGCACCTGGGCGCTATAAATAATATTATTCCTGTTCTGTTTCCATTCAACATACCCCAGCACCTGGGCCCTATATTATTCCTGATCTGTTTCCATTGAACATACCCCAGCACCTGGGCCCTATATTATTCCTGATATGTTTCCATTGAACATACCCCAGCACCTGGGCCATATATTATTTCTGATCTGTTTCCATTGAACATACCTCGGCACCTGGGCCTTATATTATTCCTGATGTGTTTCCATTCAACAGGCGCCAGCACCTGGGCCTTATGTCAAAGAAATGTCAGATGCTGGAACATTTTACACCAACCGTGTTTTAAAAGACTTTAAAGAGAAGGATGTCAAGCATGTGGAGTGGACCAGAGCATGGATCTCAACTCTGACAGAACTGCAAGGCTACATTAAACAGTTCCACACAACTGGGCTCTCTTGGAATCCACAGGTCACTCTCATTTTCTTAGCAGTCTCTGAATTAAGAAAATCACTTAACAACTTTTAAATAATAATTACTTTCAGTTCTCAACAAAATAATGTACAATTTTTAAAAAGATGTGGGTTTTCTGCAAACCTGAGGTCTGCAAAAACTTTGGTTTCCACTTATGCCGTGAAGTAATATGTCTCACTTTTAACACTTTAGGTATCCTAATAATATTCTAAATTATATAAGTAATTGGCCACATTTCCTCAAACGATTCCCATCTCTCTTAAAGAATTGTATTTGACGTCAGTATATCTGTTGTAAAGATTACACAACAAATAAGCTTGAAAATCATGCTCAGTGAGACCATCAAAACCTTTTCTGAAGACATTTAAGGACTGACAGAAATTTGTCTGCATATAGTAAAAAGAACCAGTCAACAGTCGAAGGAGCATAATAATTGATTATTTATTAACCTGGAACCAACAACTGTCACATTAAACATTATATTTTATAAAAAGCTTGATTAAAATAACGGCAAAAATTTAATATTTACTTTAAAAAGTTATTTAAATATTTTTTTAGAAATAATATTGTATCCATTGATTTTATCTTCTTCTTCTGTCCACTTTTTCCAGGGAGGCTATTAGAGATAGAAAATATGGTTCTTAATACTCAATTAATATTAATAATAACAGAATCGCCATATACTACAACAACACCACAAACTCAATAGTGATCACTTGATAGTTACTTTTATAAACTTAGCAATGGCTGAACACACCCACTAGAAAATATAAAAGTTAAGTGAACATATATTTGAAGCACTTAGATGATTATAATTAATCCAATGACCCTATACCAAGAGGCAGCAGGTTTGAATATCACCCAGGATCATTCCATAGTAAATAGGCTAGAGTAATAAACCTAAACCATCTTAAGATATGTAAGATATCGGCCATCTTAGTATGGAGTAAAAGTATATTTATTGCAAAAACAACTAATCTTACCAGTTAAAACCAGCTTTAGTCTTGACAGTCAAAAATAGCTTTAGTCTTATTGCTGCCTACTAAATTCAGAATGTTTTTTAAAAAATTTGTTTAAAAAGGCTATTTAAATAAATAAATCTCTTGCACAGCATTAATAATTTTTATATCTCAATATTCTTAAATTATACATAAAGCATCTACTATAAATATTCTATACAATCTCACCATCCCGATAATGCGATTTTTACATACACTCTAGCATAGATTCATAGTGAGCCAAAAAAACATATGCATGTCATGGCCTTTAACTTAATGCACCAGACTATGTGTTATACTCAGTTACAGTTACGCAGGATATATTCTCTAGGTTTACTATAATTTTAAGGGTTGAAAAAAAACTGAGACCTTTGGGAGCAGATATGACTAGTGGCATGGGTAGTTTGACAGAGAGAGGACTGGTTTTAATTTTAGATTTGAATCTACTTTATATAAATGTCATTTGTACAAAATGTCTGTGCAGCTTAGCATTGGGGGAATGTATTGTAACTACAAGAAGATGAATTATTGTCATGAGTTTTATTTGGCCTGTGTCTCATATTCAAAGGGAGATTAATTACTGTCATAGTTTGTTTTTGGCCTGTGTCTCATATTCAAAGGGAGATTAATTACTGTCATAGTTTGTTTTTGGTAACTGCATTTGGCCTGTGTCTCATATTCAAAGGGAGATTAATAATTACTGTCATAGTTTGTTTTTGGTAACTGCATTTGGCCTGTGTCTCATATTCAAAGGGAGATTAATTACTGTCATAGTTTGTTTTTGGTAACTGCATTTGGCCTGTGTCTCATATTCAAAGGGAGATTAATTACTGTCATAGTTTGTTTTTGGTAACTGCATTTGGCCTGTGTCTCATATTCAAAGGGAGATTAATTACTGTCATAGTTTGTTTTTGGTAACTGCATTTGGCCTGTGTCTCATATTCAAAGGGAGATTAATAATTACTGTCATAGTTTGTTTTTGGTATTTGGCCTGTGTCTCATATTCAAAGGGAGATTAATTACTGTCATAGTTTGTTTTTGGTAACTGCATTTGGCCTGTGTCTCATATTCAAAGGGAGATTAATAATTACTGTCATAGTTTGTTTTTGGTAACTGCATTTGGCCTGTGTCTCATATTCAAAGGGAGATTAATTACTGTCATAGTTTGTTTTTGGTAACTGCATTTGGCCTGTGTCTCATATTCAAAGGGAGATTAATTACTGTCATAGTTTGTTTTTGGTAACTGCATTTGGCCTGTGTCTCATATTCAAAGGGAGATTAATTACTGTCATAGTTTGTTTTTGGTAACTGCATTTGGCCTGTGTCTCATATTCAAAGGGAGATTAATTACTGTCATAGTTTGTTTTTGGTAACTGCATTTGGCCTGTGTCTCATATTCAAAGGGAGATTAATAATTACTGTCATAGTTTGTTTTTGGTAACTGCATTTGGCCTGTGTCTCATATTCAAAGGGAGATTAATTACTGTCATAGTTTGTTTTTGGTAACTGCATTTGGCCTGTGTCTCATATTCAAAGGGAGATTAATAATTACTGTCATAGTTTGTTTTTGGTAACTGCATTTGGCCTGTGTCTCATATTCAAAGGGAGATTAATTACTGTCATAGTTTGTTTTTGGTAACTGCATTTGGCCTGCGTCTCATATTCAACAAGGCCTCAAATTTACTCTGAGACTCATTCATAATAATACATTAATATAAGTTTTTATATACGAGCTTTACACATAATTTTATCTTAGTTGGATTAAATATGGAATATTATACCTACCAAGTTCTGATATTAACAAAATGTAAGACACTATCTACATTAGGGCAAATCTAACAAAGGGCAAATTTGTATCAAACTGAGTTTGAAACTACAAATTTGAAAATGAAATGGAATGCTGGGAAAAGATTGCTAAACCTGGATGTAGGGCAAGCTTAACTATAACATGCAACCTTTAAAAGCTTAATCTTTATTTTTCATCTAGCATTTTAGTCTTTTCTTTTTGTTGTACACTTGGGACCCTGGAAGTGCTAGTTGGAGAGCATCCGTCCCCAGTCCTGTATGGCTTCAGTGGTGGACCACCGGTCCATTCAATTATTATCTATTCATTCTCTCACAGTTAACTAATTTAATTTTTACCCCAAGTCTTGAAATTTTTGGACAATGTTTTGTCTGATAAGGTGAAAAATAGATAATAACAGTTCATTGTCGACATCTTGTCATTTATTGTATTTAGTTTTTATTGTTAGTATTGTTACCATCACTGAAAGTCCCGACTTACAATGAAAAGATAAAAATAATATGAATAATATCAGGTTCTTTTTAGAGCTTTTGGTATCCAAAACATGTGGGTTGTACTTCTGGTCATTTCAAGGCATTGTTTTGATTCTTTCGAGGTCATCTGTTCTTTTAAGAAATGGGTGAAAAGCCCATGCATATTCATGTGGCTATAATCCAACTAAATTGATAAACAGTGATTGAACGTGTCCAGAAATCTGAGTTATCAAATGCGACTCATCTATCTGTCCATATTAAGGCTTCTAGAATTCATGAAAAATTTCATATTATCTGCCTCGTGATATGTTTGTCTGTTCACAGGTGGCTATTAATTATCATTTAATCTTTTAATTTTAAAATTTCTGTTTGAAAACTTCGTACATATATTATATTAACCAATATGTATTCAAATTATTTTCTGTTTGATTTTAAAAGTTTTTCCTTCTGTATATTAAAGGCCCAGGATCAATGTATTGATCATTCTGGCTCCTTAGTATGTAGAGGGGATTCACAATGTTTTTGTGCCTGATATTGAAGAGAATATTTCACTGGTTGCAAGGGCTAGTCAGCGAGAGTATCAGGAACTGGCGGGGGGGGGTGGGGGGGGGTGTTTGAAGGCCTGAGGCAATTCCTGTATTGTGTCAATATTTAAACCTCTTTCTGGGGGACAACCACTCCAGGTAGAAGTTGACCAAGAGGTCAGCAGACAACAGGTGGAGAATGAAGTCAAGCTGGTTAGATACGTTAAAATAAGACAATGTAGAGGGGATTCACAATGTTTTTGTGCCTGATATTGAAGAGAATATTTCACTGGTTGCAAGGGCTAGTCAGCGAGAGTATCAGGAACTGGCGGGGGGGGGTGGGGGGGGGGTGTTTGAAGGCCTGAGGCAATTCCTGTATTGTGTCAATATTTAAACCTCTTTCTGGGGGACAACCACTCCAGGTAGAAGTTGACCAAGAGGTCAGCAGACAACAGGTTGAGAATGAAGTCAAGCTGGTTAGATACGTTAAAATAAGACCGCAGGATTATTTCATGAATTTCAAAGGAGCCCAGTCAGTTATAAATATCATCAGGGGGTATTTGCTACAAAATTTACTTGAGTTCTGCTCTTTTCCTTAGTCAAATCCACTGTCATTCTCTCTATGGCTCCGCCAGTCAGTCAGAAATCGGTTTTAACTCCAAAAAACATGGTTCTTGACAGGTTCTTGAAAATAAATTTGACTCTTAAAATTTTTTTTATTGTCATGCTGCTGATATTTAGCTCTTTTGACTAATGATTTTGCCGACCACTGCCCTATTTCCCCCCCACCCCCGCAAAACTGTCCATTTGGTTTAGCTACCGGGTATTGAAAGAGATAGGTATTTATTTATTATTTTTTAGTCTCATTGGCATCAGTGCTATATATTTAACAAAATTTAATATACTTCACTTACCAGCAAATACATAAATTAATAATTTCATCACTTCGTGTTACTGACCAACGGTCACTCTCTTCTTATGTGCCTACTCAGCCTACAAACTATTTTAAATATTTCTAACGACACCGTATCCATATTGTATGCGCGTAACTCTTGTTGTTAAATTGTTTGCAGTTGTTCCCCAAAGCAGATGCCATGGTCCTCGAGCTTTATGTAGCCGGCTCGCTTCTCGCCATCTCATGCTTTGTTCTCAAAACACCCCATCAATAATATTTACTTATCTCATCCCTCACTTCATCGAGTGTATTTCTCACACATCTCTTTTCGGTGCCCAGCCCCCCCCCCCTGGGGCCCCCTGGGCATCTTGTCCCGCCCCTCTCGTTATCTTTATTTAATTCTTAATAACTATAGAAACATGTGTTAAAGCTATTCATCTATTAAGGCTCGGGTGGAAATTAGAAATACAGTTTTTAGAAAAACAACTTTTTAACGGCTATCATTAAATGGTAGCTCTTAATAGCGTCCTCACTCATTGGCTGATCGTCCTCACGCATTGGCTGATTGTCCTCACGCATTGGCTGATCATCCTCACGCATTGGCTGATCGTCCTCACGCATTGGCTGATCATCCTCACGCATTGGCTGATCGCCCTCACGCATTGGCTGATGGCACATTAAGTTTTGTTATGAGGTTTAAAGTTATTTTTATCTTTTTATATGGTGAATAAATATGGAAACTGTCCCTGTTGCAATGGGAAAACTTAATCCAAAGGTCCACCAAGCTTAAAGGTTTGGGAAACACTGCTCTGCTGTACCAGGGAAAGGTAGTTGGTAGACATTTACCTAGGAAAAATTTGTTTGGCGGGGTATTCTGCTGTACAGCGTAAAGTAGTCGCTGAATTACTTGGTACAAATGAGTGCCTACCAACTATATTTACTTGGTACAATATAATACCCGCTGACTACACCGTAAAGTAGTCAGTAGTCGGCGGGTATGCAGGGTAAATTAGTCGGCGGGTATTATATTGTACCAAGTGAATATAGTTGGTAGGCACTCATTTGTACCAAGTAATTTAGTCGGCAGTTATTGTACCAAGTCAATGAAGTTGGTAGGCATTCACTTGTACCAAGTAAGTTCAATTGGCAGGTATTCCAAGGTACCAAAAAATGTATTTGGCAGGCATTCTTGTGCACTGTGATCCCAGTCTGGCATTCCCCCCACTTGATGGTAACATATCAATCAGAAACTCATTTTCACATCTCACTTTTCCCCCATCTCGGTCTGTCATAGTTCTGGTGCAGGTATGCTGCCTTTGTCTAGGAAGAGAAAAGGTAGGTGGGGGGGGGGGGTAAGGTATACGAGCCAGAATAACTAGACTTGAAGGTAGACATTGTATAATGGTAACATATCAATCAGAAACTCATTTTCACATCTCACTTTTCCCCCATCTCGGTCTGTCATAGTTCTGGTGCAGGTATGCTGCCTTTGTCTAGGAAGAGAAAAGGTAGGTGGGGGGGGGGTAAGGTATACGAGCCAGAATAACTAGACTTGAAGGTAGACATTGTATAGCTCTGGCCTACTTGTATCTCATGGAACTGACGTGCAGCTTAAATAGGAACCTCAGGCTCGCCATTTCACTCTAGAAGCTTCCACCCCATACCCCAGCCGCGTATATTCTAAGACTGTGTTGTATTTTTGTTGCAAAATGTTATCATATTTGCTTGATTTATATGATTTAAAACATTCATTATGTGGCATATGGTTTAGTGCTCTTTAGTAATACAGATGCCATTAGTCGCGTGCATATTTTTTTTTTAAAGAAGTTAATCATAGCTAAGGATGAGGCTGGCTCGACCCAAATAAAATGCACTCCAATATTTCAAACGGCTTTGATTGGTCAGAGCTTCCCTGACGTCATAGGCCCTTCACCATCTCATGTCTTGTCCTCAAAACACCCCATAAATAATCTTTACTTCATATTATCCCTCACTTCGTCAGTGTATTTCCCCCACACGTCTCTCTTCGGGTGCCTCTTACCCCACCCCCTCCCCGATCCCCCGGGGCATCTTTTCCCGCCCTCTCGTTATCTTCATTTAATTCTTTATAATTATATAATCAAGTGTTATAGCTATTAATCTATTGAGAACAATTGGAGCGGACAGCACCATCTGCAGTTTGTTTAGATAACACGAACTCGGAGCTCGTCCGAATGTCTGAAACAAGGAATTGCGTTGCAGATGTAGTTGTAGAGAAAAAAAAATATGAGCAAATTTCTTCAGGCTATCTAGCGAGGGGAATTCAATTTGGGTTGGTTGCAGGGCGCAAGTTGGTGGTTGTTTTCTGATCTTGTCACCTCACCACTTGACGTGGTGCATGGATGATACCGATCGGTTGTTGATGCGGTTACAATAATTAGTAATAGAAGTACAAGCTGGGGATGGGGCGGGGGAGATGGGAGCGGTGGTGTTGTTGTTGTTTTTTTCTTCTCGTCGGGCCTGTATCCCAACCGTAGCGTGCTGCGTCAACAAACCTGGGTAAATGTTGACTGCGTTGCTTACATGCCACGTTCTCCAATCTACAAATAGGCAGGGGATGGCTCGGGAAACCGATAGCCCTTGGATCATCCAGCCAGGCCACCGCCGTGAGTCTCATCAATTAGAAACATGGGGGGATAACTTAAACACTTTGAAAATCGGCGTGATGGAGAAATCGCTGCTGTGCCTTTTTACGTGTTTTTAGAGAGCTCAGCTTGTGCCTTTTCATGTACAGTCGCGCAATGTACGGGCCCTCCGGTAGTAGAGCAATGTACGGGCCCTCCGGTAGTAGAGCAATGTACGGCCCTCCGGTAGTAGAGCAATGTACGGCCCTCTGGTAGTAGAGCAATGTACGGCTCTCTGGTAGTAGAGCAATGTACGGCCCTGCAATAGAGCAATTTATGGCCCTGCAGTAGAGCAATGTACGGCCCTCTGGTAGTAGAGGATTGTACGACCCTGCAGTAGAGCAATTTATGGCCCTAGAGCAATGTATGGCCCTGTGGTAGTAGAGCAATGTACGACCCTCTGGTAGTAGAGCAATATGCGACCCTCTGGTAGTAGAGCAATATGCGACCCTCTGGTAGTAGAGCAATGTACGACCCTCTGGTAGTAGAGCCATGTACGACCCTGCAGTAGAGCAATGTATGCACCTCTGGTATTAGAGCAATGTAGGCCCCACTGATAGTAGAGCAATGTACGACCCTGCAGTAGAGCAATGTACGACCCTGCAGTAGAGCAATGTATGGCCCTCTGGTAGTAGAGCAATGTACGCCCCTCTGGTAGTAGAGCAATGTACGACCCTGCAGTAGAGCAATGTATGGCCCTCTGGTAGTAGAGCAATGTACGGCCCTCTGGTAGTAGAGCAATGTACGGCCCTGCAGTAGAGCAATGTATGGCCCTCTGGTAGTAGAGCAATGTACGGCCCTCTGGTAGTAGAGCAATGTACGGCCCTGCCAAGCCGTGTTCACAATAATAACCTAATACTAAACAAGTATTTACATGCTTATTTACGAACCGAACTCGGGGTCAATTTTTGCAGATCATCTCCCACGACGTTTAACAATACCTAGCTAGCTATATACCCCACCAAACTATGAACTTCTCATTTACTAGAGTTACTTGACAAAACATGCATTCTGGAAACGCAATTTATAAGATTCCCAATTTGTGCTTTAAACCCCCCCCCCTCCCCATCTGTACGCCCCCGCCCCGGACTACAATTCTTGAAACGCAATTTATAAGATTCCCAATTTGTGCTTTAAACCCCCCCCCCCTCCCCATCTGTACGCCCCCGCCCCGGACTACATTAATGATAATATAGTGTTCCACCCCCTTTTACATCGCTTAATTATTACATCAGTAGCTATAGCACGCCAAACAATGGAGGCGGCAATGCTGGAACTTCCCAGCTGCTAGAGCTATTTGACAAAACATGTATTCATGCAACGCACTTTATAAGAATCCCAATTAGTGCTCTCTCTCTCTCTCTCTCTCTCTCTCTCTCTCTCCCGCTCTCCCTCCCTCCCGCGTTCGCAACGGCACACTTTTTCACGCCCCTGAACTATATTAATATTAATTGTTAAATATTACGCAACAAACGCACTTGCGGTATTTTAAAGAATCCCCTTTAGTGCAGTTATCTGGAATTTTATTTAGGTACATGGGCGCCGCCATATGGTAGGTAGTGTTAGTGGCATTAGCACATAGACAATTATGGATTGTCATTATTTAAAAAAAAAAAAAAACAAGAATATTACAAACTCATGCGTCACGCCAAGAAAATAAGAATTTCCGCGCGACCCTCAAAGGTTGCTCACCCTTGATTTACATGTTGCTGCAGACCGGGCCTGCACAACATACGGGCTGCATGCGGCCCGCGAAGTCGCGAAATATTTTTTATTCTAATTTTTTTCTTAATAGCCCTCCCCCCCCCCCCCTGTCCTCTTATCTTTTGGCCCGCACAAGTTTTTCATAAAGTATTACGGCCCGCCGTACATTTTGAGTGGTGCAGGTCTTCTGGAGACCATGGATATGCGGCCTTTTTTTTTTGATAGAGTAGCCATTTTTTATAAATTATATTTTCTCAAAATATTTTGGTACGTTTCATTGTTTCAACGGCATTATTATAAATTTAAAAAAAAATCAAATGCCGCGCTCATGTAAGTATTCCTGAGCTGCAGGTTGTCGTACGGTCTGGAGTCCACGGTCAACAATTAACTACTCCCTCAAAGATACATGTAACATTCAACATTGCATTCGTTAAACCATTTTTTTTTTAAACATGACCAAAGTAACAATAAAAGATAGCATAGCTTAATATATATATATTATGATGTCAATGTGTACATCGGGAGAAAAGAAATACAGAACTAACTGTCAGCTACTTTGTGAGGCATCCTAGAGGCGTGTCATGACTTACAGACAACCAATCCATGCTCTCTACAGTAGGAATTCCCCACACACAAAAAAAAAGATGGTTGGGGGGAGGGGGGTGTTGATACCGCCTTGAGAATAAGGACGCGTACGCAGGCCTGGGAGTAGGTAAATTGTTGAAAGGAGAAACCCAAAGTGCTAAAAATGCAGGTGAGATTTCTGTGAGATGCTGACAATGAGTCGCTGGCCCTCGTATTCCGAAATGACATCCACGTGATACGATGCCAGGAGTTGTTCTCGCCCCCCGCCCATGTCCCCCACCCCGGCACCGCTATCGTGTTTCCCCTCTTTGTTTCTGTCCACGGTCTCCACTTACGGCATCCCCAGCTCAACCGCACTTCATTAACACCAGGCAGGGCTGCCACTCAATTTCTTTAAAATTCCCAAGATTTGGTCAAAATATTTCCCAAGATTTCTCAAGATCATGATTACTATATGAGTTGTTTTTTTTTTTAAAAAGGGAAATTATCTTTGGAATTTCTTTTTAAAAAGTGAGTTTTTGTCCTGGTTGGGGTAGTGAATTCCCAAGATCTTGTGAAATTTCCCAAGGTGTGGCAGCCCTGACACCAGGGGATTTGCGTTTTCGTTACCATCGCCCGGCCGGTGGACTCGGGGAGCTTCGGAGATCTTCGCGGTGATGGCTTTCTGACCGTGACGTTAGGCTCTCATTTATTTTGATTTCAACTGATGAGTTAGTTTATTGATGTCTCAATATGAGCAGAAGCGCAGTAAGCCGTTGTTTTGATTCGTAAAGAAAGAATGAATCGATTGGTAACCACCGTCAGTAAAGCTATCGTCATTCACATCCTATCATTTCTGTGTGTCTTCAAGCTGTCTGTGGCTTACTGCACACACAAAAACTCACTTTATACTTTGTGAAACTCCAATATGAAGATTATGTATTGGAAGAGAAATGTGTACCTTTTTTTTTATTATGTTACCGCATGAGGTGGGTTCACTTACTGTAAAGTCTCACATAGTCAAACTGAACTAGACTTTCCTTTTTTTTAAGTGTGCTTTCTGTCTTTTTTTTTTTCTTCTTCTTTTTTTGTTCGGGGAGGGTTGTTTGGCTGTTAAGTGATTATTTATCATGGAACTTCGCAACAGTTGTTGCCATTGAAAGGGGGAAGAGGGGGATAACAGAGGGGTGACCGAAGGAAGTCAGTGCAAATTGGTGGCTTCGTTTATTCAAATGTTGGATTTCCCGTTTACCCCACCACCCCCAGCCTCCACACCCAAAAAGTATTAACACATACATATGCATGCACACACACACACGTTATAGTTTAATTTAATTAAACATATGGCATCTTCTTTATTCTAATACTAATATTAATACGTGTATTTATTGACGTGTGGGAAGTGGGGGATAGTTGAACTCTTTTTTTTTTTCTTTCTCCGAGTTGGTGTCATCAAAATCACAGGGTAAGTGCTGCGGCCTCTGGTCTGAATATAAAAGATTGCCGCTTGCGGAGTTGCTAAAGGTTATAACAGCAATGAACAGGACGGAAGCCTCTGTGCCAGTAATTCGTCGCGTCTTCGGGGATATTAGGCTAAATGTCATCCATCTTGTTTTCTTACAGCATATCAGGCGTGTGTGGCCTTCATCTTACTACCTACCCATGTGCGTGCAATGGTTTATTTCATTGAATCCCGAATCCCCCCCCCCCCCGACACCTTTAGGTCGTTGGTCATATTTTTGTTGATCCGTCTTATAGTCTGAAACTCCGCCCCCCTCTAAGCTTCGCCGGGCTCTCTGTCCACCGTAGCGTTTAAAGAAAATACATATCGAAAAATCCATCTTGTTTTCTTTCAGCATATCAGGCGTGTGTGGCCTTTATCTTACTACCTACCCTTGTGCGTGCAATGGTTTATTTCATTGAATCCCGAATCCCCCCCCCCCCCGACACCTTTAGGTCGTTGGTCATATTTTTGTTGATCCGTCTTATAGTCTGTAACTCCGCCCCCCTCTAAGCTTCGCCGGGCTCTCTGTCCACCGTAGCGTTTAAAGAAAATACATATCGAAAAGAAAGACATATTTTTAAAATGTAAAAGTTTTACCCCCTTACCGATTACTAACCGACGCGTGTTGATGCAGGTCTGACTTTCTTGGGTCACTATCAGAGCACCAAACGTTACGGTCATTTACAGGGCGATACTGACAAACAAAATCGTATAACAACATTCGGGGGGGGGGGGGGGGTGTTAAGATATGTCCATATTCAAGTTCGTTTGTGACATATGTGCCGTGTTTTGTACAAGTCAGATCTGGTAGCAGTGGCTGTGAGATTCTAGTGACTAAAACTCAGTATGATGGCTCAACGTAATAGCGCCATACCTACTTCAAAGTTGCCCATTTTGTAAAAACAACATGCAAAAAGTGACTAGTAGAATAATGCAGCTTAAGTTATTGGATTGTTTTCATATTGTTATTTTTATTCTTATTATTAGGGGTGCAGGGGCTGATGTTGGGGACGAAATGTGTGACATGCACAAGATTTGCTGTGTGTATTGTTTTTGTGCTCTCGCTCTCTCTCTGTCTCCCTCCCCCTCTCTCTCTCTCCCCCTCTCTCTCTCCCCCTCTCTCTCTCTCCCCCTCTCTCTCCCTCCCTCTCTCTCCCCCCTCTCTCCAGCCCTCCCTCCCCCTCTCTCTCTCCCCCTCCCTCCCTCTCTCNTCTCTCTCTCTCTCTCTCCCTCATTAAGTTATCAGAGCATGTTTTAAAAAACGCCATCTTTGTTTATTGTCCTTCCAGGGCGGAGATGCCAAATCGGTCAAGAGCAGTTCCAGTGGACCAGCTCCCCCTGCGGGTGGTGCACCCCCACCCCCTCCTCCACCAGGCCCTCCCCCGCCACCTGACATGAGCGGCGCCAGTAAAGATGATGAAGGGACGGCTGCTAAAGCTGCCTTATTTGCTCAGCTCAATAAAGGAGAGGATGTCACAAAAGGTCGCTCATTGGATAATTATTTTTAAAATTGCATATGAGTTTAGGTTATTTTTTTAATATCTATCTATAATACATTGAAACGTTGTCTTGACATAATTTCATGCACGGGATGAATGGGGCAGCTTTCTTTGGTTTAATTTATCCGCTATATTTCTTTATTGTCTTTAATTATTTTCTTTAAGGTTTGCGCAAGGTGACCGATGACATGAAAACCCACAAGAATCCCACCTTGCGCCAAGGTCCAGCTCCGTTTAAGCCCACCCCAGGGGTCAAGCCACAAACTTCCCCTAAGCCAACTCCTAAATCACTGGCGGCGCCAGCCAAACCACCACTCATTGAATTACAAGACAAAAAATGGATTGTCGTAAGTTTTGCTCGCCTTTGTACATTTTAGCCTGAAACTGTGGACAGTTGAAACGCTATAGCATAATGACACAAACAGTTTGTCCAAGTAAAAAACATTGCTAAGCTTTTATCAAACTGGGGAAATGTTCTCTGAAACATTTGGGCTGCATGCCTTGATCAGTGAAATTAAACATACATGAGTTCAGATTAAATTTTACATCATTTACAGCCTGCTTGCTTTGTGATTGTTTAGTTCTTTAATGGACTTAGCCAAACTGCTAGGTTATCATTCCTGTCCTATGACACAGTTTGATTTAGGAAGAAGAAAATAAGGATACACAAACAATACATAGTTGATAGTTGACCATTAACACCGCAGAGATCTGTGGAAGATTAAGTGGTTCAGTGTCATTGACATTAGAGTGATTGAATGTGTCATGTCAATCCTATTCCAGGAGTATCACAAAGACAATAAAAACATAGTGATTGACAACACGGAGCTGAAACAATCGGTGTACATCTTTAAATGTGAAGGTTCTGTTGTCCAAGTGAAGGGAAAGATCAGCTCTATTGTATTAGGTAGGTCAATAAATGGATTTTTTGTTCATATTTCTGTGGCATTCACATAGAAAAGCATTACAGAAGTCCTACAACAGGCTTGCTTTCTCTGCATTTACATGTTCTTGCTAAAAGGAATAGCCAGATGTGCTGGACACTATTCACAATCAGTTACCAAGATTCTTATTAGTAAAAATATTCTAAAAGCTTATTGGCTAAAGATATTTATTTTCAAGAGGATATTTCTGACCTGCTTACTCTTACAATTTTAGCGTGCAATGTACGATTTTGAGGTGTGCACATTATATATACTATATGTTTATTTTTTTACTATTAAGATTATGTATTGAACGATTTTGTGATGATATTGTACGATTTTAAGAGTTTGAGGGTAAATAGATCTGATATCTGAATGTTTTTATGAAACAGTTCGTCCATGAAGATGAGTTCATCGTAACAATGGGAAAGACCTAATGTACCTGCATACATTCCTTTAATCATCCACCGTATAATATGTAACAATTTTTAAAAAAATGATCACAGCAGAATCTTAAATTACCTTTAAAGAGCACCTTCTGTCCTACCATAATGGTCCCATTTCCAGGCCAGGAAATTCCATGGTTGTTTTCCTACCACCAGGTTTAAATGGTTGGCTAAAATACTAACATAATAGAAATAATTTAACCCCCTAAAAAATGAAGCCAACTGGGTGGAAAGCTAGTGGAGACGCCGACCCTGAAGCAATCCAGTTGCTCAGCATAGAAGGTAGAACATCAGTACCTGGAATGTACAAAATATAAAATAAATGTTAAATTTATTTGGAACACTACAACTGCTATCTTGTTGGCAAGAAATTTAAGTACAGCATCTCATTGCATTATCTATCCTTTAAAAATTATGTACTTAAAAACACTAGCCAAGTGGCCCATTAGCTACAGTAATAAATTTTGTCTGGTGGTTTAAATTAAGGTCAAATATTATTCTCAGATTCTTGCAAGAAAACAGCTATTGTGTTTGATGATCTTGTTTCTTCAATTGAATTCGTCAACTGCCAGAGCGTGCAAGCTCAGGTGAGTACAGCACAGAAGATAGTTTTATTATATTATGTGTATATAAACCCAGATAGTTTAATAACAGGAAATTATTTCCTAAATTCTTTTATTATATTAAATGAGATTTTAAAGGGCAATCTAAATGTACTTAAGGATAAAATAGTCACTGTCTCATTGGGCAATCATTAATTTCATTGAGTTTAATCATCTATTTTCCCACCCAGGTGACTGGTAAGGTGCCCACATTAAGTATTGATAAAACCGATGGCTGTCTTGTATATCTAAGCCCTAGTTCACTTGAGGTTGAAATAGTAACAGCCAAGTCTTCAGAGATGAACATTTTGGTGCCACAGGCAGATGGAGACTATGTAAGTCAACATTCACTTAATTCTTTTCTTTTTAAGGCATTTTTATAGGTCAGAGAAAGCTTCCAGAAGAAAACAGCAATATTTGTCAATACAGTATTACATACGAGCTACTTCTCCATAAGATTCCCAATTTGGTAATACAGTTTCATTAATATTAATTGTGTTGAAGTTGTCATGGCGGAATTATTCTTCTGATTTGCAAATATTAATCATTAACATTAAATGAGGTTTAGGTCTGTTCGGTTTATATCTGTGCGTACTTGTAACATTGGAATTAAAACAATGTACATCTGTAGCATTGGAATTCAAACAATTTACATCTACGGCATTGGACATAAACATAATATGTACAGATGGAATAGTGATAAATATAATATGTACAGATGGAATAGTGATAAACATAATATGTACAGATGGAATAGTGATAAACATAATATGTACAGATGGAATAGTGATAAACATAATATGTACAGATGGAATAGTGATAAACATAATATGTACAGATGGAATAGTGATAAACATAATATGTACAGATGGAATAGTGATAAACATAATATGTACAGATGGAATAGTGATAAACATAATATGTACAGATGGAATAGTGATAAACATAATATGTACAGATGGAATAGTGATAAACATAATATGTACAGATGGAATAGTGATAAACATAATATGTACAGATGGAATAGTGATAAACATAATATGTACAGATTGAATATTGAACATCAGCAAATCATATGTTATAAGATTTGATATCACCTAATAATGCTTACATCCTTCCTTCAATAGAAAGAGTTTGCCCTGCCAGAACAGTACAAGACCAAATATGATGGCAAGACAATGGTGACTACTATTTCAGACAGTATTTAGCTAGCAATGGGCATTTATAAGTCTACCTTAACCTTATAATGAAATGCATACTTTTTGTTCATGTTATCAATAGGTATACTTTTGTTCATTTAATCATTTGGTATATTTTTTTTTGAATATTGAAAACTAGGTCTATCTCAGTTTGAAATTAACAAATAACTCTATTTGCTAAATGAATTTATGTTTAATTTGCCATCTAATAATGTAACCGTACTATGTTATAATTTCACATGTTGGTGTTCAATGTTGGTTTCTAACATACTAGTAACTGCTTCCATCACAAACATTTAGACAAACATTAGCGGTGGAAAGATTATTGTATTTAATCTTCTCTCTCTGTGCTATTATTTATACTATCCTCACTTCACACACAACTTATCAATCATTGGTCAACGTTGCTGTGAGGTTTGATTGTACCGTATTCAAATACATAGTTCTATTTATTGGATACATTTTTATCTCAAAAATTTTTTTTTTTTTTCTGCGTCAGGTGTGGTAAAACATTTTGCATACAATTGAGAGAAGCATGTAAAATGCAATGAGTTTTAGTAATTCATACTAACTTAATCAAAGTTGTATTGCCCACTCCAGGCCTCTACGAATGATTAGAGAAGCCATTGTAATAACTGCTGTAAAGTGAAGCAATAATTTGAGTCATTGCAATAGGTCAAAGCATTTATTTCAACATACTGGATTACATATAAGATGTAATTGTATTACTGGTACATCTTGTCTTATTCAGCTCAAGTTGTAGAGGATACTGGAAAGATAATGTTCTAAAAGATAATGTTCTAACTTTTATTACCTAAATGATATATTTTGGCAGTGATTGCACCCATAAATTGGTAGATAATTGCCTATTGTGACTTCTGACCAATTTTATATTTAGTTTTGTTCAGGTTGTTTAAAATTCTCATTTCCCTTGCTTCAACACTCTTCAGTTACATTTCCTAAAGAATTTTCAAAATTATCTGGAAAATATTGTTCTTTTTAGATATTTTGCAAGTCTTTTTTTATGGTAAATTTCATTTGATCTGACAGTAGAAGAGGGGAGGGGGGGGGGGAGATGCTTTGCCCATCAATCATTTTGTTGACACTAGGATGATATTTAAGAGTCAAATTTTGGGAAACAGAGACTCGGGTGCAATGTGCAAGGGCCAGATTTGGTCATCAGTGGAAACTCTTATGTTTTCTCCACCCATTTATAAAATTGTTCTTTTTAGATATTTTGCAAGTCTTTTTTTATGGTAAATTTCATTTGATCTGACAGTAGAAGAGGGGAGGGGGGGGGGGAGATGCTTTGCCCATCAATCATTTTGCTGACACTAGGATGATATTTAAGAGTCAAATTTTGGGAAACAGAGACTCGGGTGCAATGTGCAAGGGTCAGATTTGGTCATCAGTGGAAACTCTTATTGTTTCTCCACCCATTTATAATAATAATCATTTATCTGACTCCTTTGAACCTAAGCAGTAGCTCCATTACTCTGGTAGTCAAGGTACAACATAACTGATCAGGGACTGGTGATCAGCTCATGTATCTACCTATTTACTTATTGGTGCAACACAATTGTGGATTCAGAGTTGTTGCACATGTTGGCATTTGATCAGACTGCAGTTCCCTGTGTTTATCTTAGTACTCATGTTAATGTACTGCCTGTGTACACAAAAGTACAACTAAAAGTATAAAGTATGAACAAGAGCAAACTAACATGACCTCCTCACCAGTGGTAAGCAGAACATATAGAGTAGCACCAATGTTGACAACTTTCAACAGTAATTTCAAAATGCAATAATAACATGTTTGTTCATTGTCTGCTTTTTTTTTTTTTTTTTTTACAAAAAATCTTCCAAATTAATTCTGTGTTAATGGGTGGATAACCAACTGAACAAAAGCAACTAATTTTGTGCCATTTTTATTGATAACATTGTTGTAGCTGGCAATTTTTTTTTTTTATTTTTACAGAACATATAGAGTAGCACCAATGTTGACAACTTTCAACAGTAATTTCAAAATGCAATAATAACATGTTTGTTCATTGTCTGCTTTTTTTTTTTTTTTTTACAAAGCATCTTCCAAATTAATTCTGTGTTAATGGGTGGATAACCAACTGAACAAAAGCAACTAATTTGGTGCCATTTTCATTGATAACATTGTTGTAGCTGGCAATTTTTTGTTTTAATTTTTAAGTCCAAAAAATATATTTGAACAAACCTACTGGCTAAAAAGAGTTAAAGGTGGTAAACAAGTTTGTTCAAATTTATTCAGTTATAATAGAACTAATTAAAAATAAATGTTTAAAAAAAAAAAAAAAATTTAAATTATTTTTAATGATGTTAAAAGTTTTTGTAACTGAATCACATGAAAGTTTTTTTTTTTTTTTTTTGGTTTGTGCATAGGGGTGGCTACATTCATTTATGCAATAAACTTAGATTAGAGGAACAGCTAAACTGTCAGGATTATGTTTTTTAATTATTTTAATCAACTATAAGTAAAGCAAATGCTACTTATTACACTATACCCATTTATCACAAGAATGTTGTCATTTTTAAAGAATGAATGAAGGCGATCTCAACAAATTTGACAAATATTTTATCCATTACATTAGCACTTATAATCAGTATCCTCTGTGATTTATTTAACAAATAATATATGATCAATTATTTATTATCTTTAAATTCAAGGGAGTAAACTAGAATGCAAAATGAGCCATGTTAGATAAAAGATAAAAATTCTGTATGATAGCTCTGTTGATTGACTGCAAGGATAATCTTTATCAATCATGCATGTTCTGAACGCTTGGTCAATTCAATGCTTTTATTTGTTTAAACAAAAAAAAATTATAAATAGCCATGTAACACATCAGTGACATGACACTAACAAGGGTTGCAATGGCAGGCTTAAGTTTTTATCAGTGATTTTGTTACAAGTGAACATTCAAACTCCCCTGGGGCTGAGACTTTGATGTCACTTTATTCACAGAAGAGACATGAAATTTCAAATGTATTTTCCTATTGTGGACAATGGCGTGAATGTTAGAAGACAAATTGTTTATATAAGGATTTATTTAATTTAATTTTTTTTTTTACTTACTATGCTTTAACTATTTCATGTAGTTTCACATTTCTTTATAGACATATCGTCAATACATTGATTGAAACACATTTGTCATGTAATTTATTCATCTTTAATTTGAAATATATATGTGGCCTTAAATAATAAATGTGTTTTCTTTCATAACTATATCAACTATATTATGATGGTCATTGACACAGACAAACAAAACCAAAGGGGCAGAAATATAACTTAAGGGGTGGGGCATAAACAAAACGGAGGGGTGGCGCAGAAACAAAGCAAAGTGGACATAAAAGGGGGGCGGGGCTGTCTTTAAAAAAATTTTATTAATAGGAACTTTAGTTATTAATGTTTCTTAACAAAGTTTGTGAATTTTAAGATCATTTAAATCACCAATGTAACACTTTATTAATCTTAGACATAAAAAAACCCAGCAACTTTTAACTATATGCTCTGTCCCTGAGAGATAGGGTTGCACTGATGAGCAAATTTACAAGTTTACCAATTATTCACCCAATACTGATTTATCGACTGCAGCTGACGTATTTAACTTAGGAATACCTATAGTAATTAATTAGTGTAAGTTCTTCTTGTTAGAGTCTCGTAATTTATCACTATTATTTTGTATTACAGAGCTATAATTTAGGCTGTGGGAGAAAAGGTAACTGATAATAAGGAAAATAACCGGGGCCCAAGAAATAGAAATGAGGGCTACTCTCAATCAAATATTTGAACCTTGTGCTTAGACCCAGAACAAAGCCCCAGATGACCACTTGGACAAGCAGACCCTCATCTGCCATGTACTTGGAACATCCGTGCAACCCTACTTAGATTGCTATTTGTAGAACAGGCATCCATTTATTTATTCTTTTTATACAAGAGCCATTTTTTCGTTTTGATTCAGAAACAAGGTCTTTAAAGAATAAGTTGACTATTGGGTTACAACATGTTCTCCTATATTTACTAAATTACAACCCAGTTGAAAGTTTATTTGCAAACTAGTTCATTAAAACCTTTCATGTCTGTGTTATTTTACTTTCAATTATATTATATGCATTTGTTTCTGAAATTCTTGTTATAACGTCAACTTGAAATAAAAGCTTCTTTATCCTTAAGTTTCATATGTGTGTTTCGCTACACTTTGGTTGTTAAAATAAAATGTTCCTCTGCCGTAAGGCAAGGATATTGTAAATCTACAGCAGGTGTGGTAAAATTAGTCCATTTATAATCTACAGCAGGTAATGTAAAATTAGTCCATCTATAAACTACAGCAGGTTTGGTAAAACTAAACCATCTATAATCTACTCCAGGTGTGGTAAAACTAGTCCCATCTATAACTATAATCTACAGTAGGTGTGGTAAAACTAGTCCATCTATAATTTACAGTAGGTGTGGTAACACTAGTCCTATAATCTACAGTAGGTGTGGTAAAACTAGTTCATCTACACAGATTCGACACTAGGGTTATTTACAACCGGTGCGGTTAACTCTGTGTCACCTCCCCACAATTTTAGGATCCCCCACTGGACATGCAACGAGCAATTCTTAACCCTGTCATACACAATCGCTTATAAACTTCAGTTTAGATATTCTTTGTACATTAAGCTACTACTACTACTAGACATATATATATATATATAAAATGTCACATAGTTCGTGAGTCGAACTCGACTATGATCACCTTAATCATCGTATACGTGAACCTTACTGTGGGTGCGCAGATAGCTGATGTGACTGATTCGTGCGCGAAACGTTCTTGTGCAGTAAGTGCAGGGGATTGATGGGGCATCTTCAGGTGTTGAGTTAACCCGAGCTTTTCTGGCATGTCTTGTGCGCTCTGCGGCCGCGTATCTGTTGGTTTCATATAGTATTGAGCCTTTAAGTACAGAGGAGTGCCATGATGCTCGATCCTTTGCCGATTCTTCCCAAGTGCCCGTATCTCCATCGAACACTTTCAGTGAGGTTTTAAGGATGTCTTTAAAACGTTTCTTCTGTCCACCAGCAAACCGCCTGCCATGCTCGAGCTCACCATAGAATATTCTTTTGACAAGCAGTCGTCTGCGCGGGAGATGAGCTCGTTATTGGGGGCAGCGAATTTCAGCATAAGAATATTCACAAGGTAACAAAAACAAATTGATTATATATTATGTTATTTCTTTTAGAGACCTTCTGAATTAAAAAAAAAAAAAAAAACAAGAACAAAAAGAGGAGCTGATGATGCATCGGATCACCATCTAGTTTAAGGAAAGACTCAAGCTAAAACTGAAGAAAAACTGGGAAGAGGCAGCTGCTAGAAGACTACAATACAACATAGCACTTCTGGCAGACGAGCAGAAACGACAGGAATTCAGTGTAACTTAGAGAAATAATTTCCAGGCACTGCAAAATCAAACAGATGATGGCCAGATAGAACACTAATGGCAAAATATAAAGATGTCAGTAACTCCCAGGTGCAACGGGGTGCAATGTCAGGGCTAGAATTGGAAAGGCTATAGGTCAGCATTTGTGCTATTAAAGAAAATATGGGAGTCAAAGGAGCTGACTCTGCAAACCAAAGTCAAAGTTTTCAACACAAATGTCAAAACAGTCCTACTCTATGGAGCAGAAACTTGGAGAACAATAGCGAGCATCACGCAGAAAGTACATACCTTCATAAACACTTACTTTATACATTTTCTGTACATCAAAAGGCCAAACATCACCATAGCAGTGAGCAGGAGCATATTGCTTAAGAGTAATAAGACATCATAAGGAAAATATGGAGGTGGATAGGGCACACTCTTCGTGAACCCCCAGATGACATCACCAGGCAATCCCTAACACGGAATCCACAGGGGGAAAGGAAGAGAAAGAAGGCCTAAGATACGAATACACGGAGAAGCGAGCTATAGGCAGACACACAAAGGATGGGATACACAATGAGGCAAGTGGAAAGCACGGGACCGAGATGGATGGAAAATTATTGTATACGGCCTATGCCCCAGACGGAATAAAAGACATAACTAACTAACTATATAACGTCAACGTCAGAGTCCCCGCAAAATTTAATTTGCCAAGGCCCCGCACCCTACTAGCGCCGACAATGTTCACACCCTCGTCACATAACATCTGCCCCCCACCCACCTCCCACCCACTCACACATTTTAAAAAATATTAAAGGCTTGGATTATCTATTCATTCAATCATTGATTGACGCTGCCAACCACCACCCCCCCCCCTTTTTTTTCTTTCTCTTTCTTCTTTTCTTTTGATTTTCTTACATTTGCATTATTGGCTTACTATCAAAAATACTATCTATTGTATTAAGCTTTAATACAAATGTAAATAAGATACCGGTATGCTTAATTTAGTTTTTTTTTTTTTAAATATTGTTGTATCCAACCCCACAAACATTGATGTATCCAACCCCACACCGTGAAACAACAGTATATCCCCCTCCCCTCCCCCCTATTAATTTAAAAATTATTACCAACCATCTTTTATTACGTCCTCAGATGCGTGACGTCATTTATGGATGGGCAATAACTCTGCCGACTCTTTAAAATACTTCATTACTTATTGTTCTTGACCAAATGAAGATAACAGAAGATTCCGTATTGTACTTTCACTTTTTAATATCGAATTATTAATAATTAATCTGAATCAACAAGCAACCAAGAGCAATAAATAATT